CATGCGTTCCATAAATTTATAATTGAACGAAAATTAAAACATTAGTATATAAGGTTGATTTTATTGACACCAAAAATTAACTTTTTGCGCTTCATTTAACTAAATTAAAAAAAATTGTGTTTGGGTTTTTAGTGTGCAACACTATTAGTCATTATTTTTGGTTTAAATTGTACGTGTGATTTGGTAGATTCTAGAAAAATTTAAGTAATAAATATAAATATATAAATTTAAGTATTTTTTTTTGTGAGAACTATCGATTCATACAATGAATTTTCAAAAACGAAAAACTGAATTGTAAAATAAAAAAATTTGCTTTATAAATAACGCCTTAAATGTACTTATCATTTCTAAATAATTCACCACCGCTCATTTCGTTAGTAAACTTTATGTTAACATATGTTTTAAAAAGATTTATTTATAAATAAAGAAAGATATAATATATTTAATGGATGCACTGTAAAATAGACTGATATTGTACACCCACTTTGTTAATAATTAGTCTTTATTTTGTACTAAAATATTAAACGTGTGATCTGTAGATGTGTTTCATTTTTATAACATTTAAGAGTTATTTTGACATTTGTATTTACACGTATTATCTACAATAAAGGATGAAAATCTATTCAAGAAATACAATTGGAGTGTATGTCTGTTACCAGCAGTGGTAGAGCCCGCTTTAACATCGCACGAATGGGCCCGGCTCGCCCGGTGAAATACCATGACCACACAGAAGACAGGCGTCAAGTGGAAGTAATTCTGCGTTTCGTCTGATGAGTGTGCGTCCCGGAGGCCTAATTTAGTCCTATTTTCCTTCCCACTCTTTTTTTATAAGGAGAGGATGGGAAGTACATGGGGACTTTCCGGATGAGAGGATGCATAGAAAGGGAAAATATTTTCTTTCTGTGCATCCTCTCCGTCGATTAAAGGTAGGCAACGCATATGCTATTGCGTATGTCTATGGGCAACGGTCACTTCGCTATTTCAGCGATTTCAGGTGGCCGCTCGCTCGTTTACCACCTTATAATATAAAAAGAAAACCTTATAAAAAAACTATACGAATAGTTCTTTTCAAATATCTAGACGGCTCAAGGTCATCAGTGCGATGCGCTGTTTCGCACTTCACCTAAAATTATGTTCCGAGCAGCGACTCGCAAGAATTAAAGAGTCTCCAAGATATCTGAAAATTATTGTGACTCCTATTTTTAATTTATCTTTGTCGTAAAGAGAACAATACTGTATTAATTTTACGCTGACGAAGTCTGTGGACACATAGTGGACTTCTGAGGTAAAACACCAAAATTACTTAAGATAATTAAATGACAAAACTCTATAAGTAATGAAATAAGCAACAAGAATTGGGTCTTTTGGTTATTTCCGTTGAGATATTAATATTTTTTTAAATGGAATAGATTGAAGATCGCAGTAGAGTATAAAAAAAACTAAGATTATTGAAAGACGATACTGAACTGCGCTATCTTACGATTGCAAGAAAACTTCATTAGTGTAATCCGTTTGGTTGTACTTGATTGAGCAATGGAATTGTAAATTAAATTTACAACTGCACACTACTAGAATACTTTAATAAAATCTATATAATTTTATTAATCCGTGTTCCCTAAAAAAATTGAGAGATAATTTTTTTTTATTACGAAAATAGTGTGGTTTTAATCACGTTTCTTAAGTTATCCAGGTGCTACGGAAATAACGTGTACAATCTCAAATGAGAAACATTTCCTCAAACTGTGTTTTCATAAACAAGGCATTCGTTGCATTTGATCTTCGCCTATAAAAGTCGTTCGACCGTAATGTTTGTCTAATTATCTAAAAGCAGCGAAGAAAATGTTAAAAGAATTTTCCCTTTAATGTAATTTTGTTCAAAAACATTCATTCAATGGGAATAAACGAACTTTTTTTTATTAAAGGTAGTCCATTTGAGTCCTTAATAAACTTTATGAAGCGCAAATAAAGGCGAAGTAATCGACTGGAAACTTTTCATGATTAATTCATGTAAAAAGGAGTAAAAAATATATGTAAATTCTACAATAAATAAACGTAGTGTCTTACAAACTCTAATATTTTGTTTAATTGGGAGACAAAATATTCATTCCAAATTACATTCTTTATCTTACCATTATGGCCGATGTTCCCCTTCTACAAATGTTACTTAATCGTTTAATACAATAATCTAAATTCATAGCTGCAAAATCAATTACCAAGGCCCATTTCATTGTAATATAACTCTTAATATTTGTGGGTTTAGGTGTTATTTAATTTGGCAGCCTCGGACAATTTAACCTCTGACCTTACCTGCCTGTCGTTACATCTTTACATTCGTTTAGTACTCGATCAAGTACTCGTTTACATTTCTCAAAGAATTTTGGCTCACAATGATATAAACATTTAAAAAAAATATATTGTCACTAATAAAATGTCTATAGGGAAATACAAATAAATCTAATGCACAGTAAAATGTTAATAAAAAAAACCACTAGTCCTTTGCCTCTGATATTTCAAAAAGTCTAAACTTCCAAAAAACTTTAGTAAGGAACTTACATTATCTTATACCAGCACAAGAAGATTTTCATCAAAACTTTATTACAATTGAATATTGAAATTTTTAAATAAAAATTTAGTTGTTAAATTGTTCAATTCAAACGCACTTCGCCGTCAAAGCCGCAGTAGAGGCAGAGGGTGTGAGGTCGTCGACCCGCCGCTACGAGCGCTACGAGATCTCTACGTACACGCGAAAATCTACTGCACCGCGTCACGTAGACGTTTCAAATATTTTATGTAGGTTTTTTTTTTCTATACAAAACATACTTTATGACAATTGTGGTTATATGAATATATCTTCGTTCAAAACATAAAAAAAGTTTCCGTAGCTAATAAACATATATGAATATTGAAGAGGACATAAAACTCGTTATCACTGCCTACCCCTAAGTACAGCCAAAAGTACTATGTTAATAATCTCTTCTACTCGATGTACTTAAGTATAAATCCTGCGAAGCTATGTAGTTTAAACATAACATAACATTAAAGGCCGGCAACGCATCTACAGTTCCTCTGGTGTTGCAGATGTCCATGGGTGTCGTTGATCACCTCGGTGTTCTCCCGCACGTTTGCCCCCTTCTCTTATAAAAAAATTATCGTATCAACATAATGTAAGGATTGAATCTATAAACAGTTTGTTAGGAAGCCAGCAATGCGGTCGCTTGTGTCTCGAGTTATGCATAATTTATTAAGATTGAAACGAGCAAAGACTCAGCCGGGATATCTACGTTGCATTAATTTTGGTGAACGCAAAGAGAAAATTACATGACATTAGAACACGATTCAACGAAATACTAGTAAGAATTTTGTTGCATTAAATTAAGCTTTGTATCAAAAATGTTTTTATAGTAAACTGGAAGGGACTTAGTTCTAAGTATCGAATACGTCATAATGACAATAATTGTGACCTATCAATTCTTTTGACAAAACATTAATTCTAGTGTCAAGCAAGCACAGTAAAATGTAAAAAGTAATAGACCCAAACTCTCTTAACGTTCATTTTAATCAGAGATTAAGTATCGTAGTCGATAGTAGGTATTTAACGAAGGAACTACGAACAAAGATGTTACTCGTAGTAATCAGTGACGTCATAAGTCACAAAGGCTCACGTTATCGATCTCTACTCCACGACGTCTTGCATCTTGTACAAATTGCTGCCTTCGATACTCCAAATATTTATGCCTATTTCGTCTTCCAATACTCATAGTTTTTGCTTTATTATTTTAGTATATGTTATCTCAAATCCAGATTATATTTATTAACATCTAGCTGTCGCCCGCGACTCCGTCTGCACGGTGTTAAAAAGCCTATGTGTTCTTCCAGAATATGTTCTCTAGTCTTTCTGGAGCTACCTTTAAATAAACCATCCAAACATTCGCATTTATAATAGTAAGATTAATAAGTTTTTATTATTGTAAATTTTTTTACAATTCAATTTTACTTATGACTGGGTACAGTTTCTAAACAAAACGGTCGGTGCTTATCTTACACGGAGAAGCTGTAGCCTGCCTTCTGAGATAATTGAGTCTCAGACATTGCAACTAAAGTACGCTTAAGATATCGCAAAACAAAACAAACGCGCTTGTGAGAGCTAAAGAATTGTTTCGAGAAAGATGTTCTATTTTATTTTTTAAACTAATTGCTTAAGACAGTTTTTATATTCATCAAAGTGATTTCTGAAGCGTATTTACCGTAGAAAATAAATTTAATATTAAGACAATCGTTTGGTATTTAAAAAAAATGTAACTGCACTGAACAGACAAAATGTAATTATCAATTAAATTATTCTTCAAATTGAGCTCAGTTAGTCTTTTACCTATTCTTCTTAAACGTTTTATTTTAACACGTTGACCGCATTGAATTAAAAAGAAATCTTAGTAGTTAAACTAGGCTATAAGTTCTTCCAGATTATCTTATATATAAAATTCTTGTGTCACAATTCTCGTTCCCATACTCCTCCGAAACGGCTTGACCGATTCTCATGAAATTTTGTGAGCATATTGAGTAGGTCTGAGAATCGGACAACCTCTATTTTTAATCCCGCGCGGACGGAGTCGCGGGCGACATCTAGTGTTCTATATATCTGTGCCAAATGTCATCGTAATCCGTTAAATCGTTTTCTAGATACGTAATAACAAATAGTCATCCAAACTTTTGCATTTATAATATTTAAGTAAAAAGTAAGACAATTGCAATGTTTTGTATGAAAATAAAACAAAATGAACGTTACATTTATCAATATTATTGAAAAGTTTAAAATGCATAGTTCAGCATTTAGTTATCATTTACATGTCTTTATCTAAACGTACACATATATATTTAGTTTGTTTTAATTTTTAAATTACAAATTATAATCTTTTGATGAAAGTAAATACAATATATTATCGCAAAACTTCGTAATACTGAAATCGTTGTAAGAAATAAATATAAACAAATAAATCACAGCATGCGTTCAGTGACTTAAATATTTTCATTAAAATTTAGTACATCCACAATACCAATTGATTCAAATTAAATTTATTCGATAAAATCACATAGTTACAGTACTTGTATCTTGCATTGCCGCTCTTACATCGATCACTTAGAAATGTCACAGTGCAATATCATTAGGCAGTTTTTATCATTATATTATGAAATATTGAATTCTGTAGTACCCAATTTTTCCTCGCTAATTAAACCATCATGTCGGAATGAATAGATATATTGTAATCTTCATTGGCTTTTTTTCCTTTCTTAGAGCGGCAAAAAGACATATAAATACCATACAGTACGTAGTAAATAAGCATTATAGATTCTAATTTTACTATATTTTACACGAGCCTCACGTCGACTAGACTCTACGTACATTTAGAAAATCTACATAATTACAAACCTGTCCCTAAGAATCTAGACTTTTAGAATTTTTTAATGATCTTGCGTTGAGTGGGTGAGTGGATTTCTTTTTACTCTTATCCATAGCGGCGGTGTCAGGGCTGAAGACGGAAGTCTTGGAGCTGGGCGCGCTGTTCCCCGGGGATACGCCGCTGTCCGTGCTCACGGAGGCGGGGCTCGGACTTTCACTGGCGCTGCTGCACACTGTCAGTTCCTGCCCCATCCCTGGCCCCTGACCCGCCACAGACACGATCTGACCCACCACCTTTTGTCTCACTACATTTATACTTTGGCACACATTCTTCACGTCACCCTCGCACGCTTCCTTCTTATGATATCTCGTAAGTGTCCCCGCGGAGCCTGCCGAGTGCGGTCGGTACATCGGGAAGTACTGAGACTGCGGGTAGTACTGCATCTCGTGCGGCACCTGTCCCGGTACCCATGGCATCGCCGTAACTACAGGCGGCATGTGCGTCCACATCGGCATTTGTACCATATGGGTGCCGTCCGGGAGAGGCTTGAAGCCCGGTGCTACCGGCATTGGTCGAACGACTCCCACCGGAGTGGGAGCACTGTGCGGTCTCATAGCCGGGTGACCATATTGCATCGAAAATTCTTCACCCTCGTACATCCTCGGTGTCTGAGTGTAGTCCACGTTCGGGAAAATGGTATGAGGTCCTCTTTGGAAGTACGTGTACATTTGCTGCTGAGCTTGCTTCATGGCAACGTACTGCTGTAAATGTATCGCCGTCTGTTGTCTCTGGTGCACGATGTCCTGGGAGAAGCCGGCCGCAGTGTTGCCGTGGATATAGTAGATGTTGGCTTGATTGTTGGGCTGCGTTGTCGGAGCTGGCTTTTGCACGTTATTGTATTTGTTATCTACATTGTTTTGAGGATCTTGGTATTCTTCCGGCGGCGCTATGAACTTGGGTGGCGACGGAGGGTTCACCTGTTGTGATTTGGGATAGCTGACTATCTGTGCAATGTATGGCTGCTGGCCTTTAGCGGAATGCGCTGGACTTTGACTTTGGAATGTTGGGTTGTAAGTGATCTGCGAAGTTTCTGGACTAATTTCACATTCTACTTCTTTTTGGATATTTCTTTGGTGTTCATTAGTTTCAGTCTTTTTGGTTTTTTGATTGTAAGGTGCAACTTTGGGATTACTCTTCCAATTGGCGCCGGCACTCTGTGGTCTTTTGACGGGTGATTTGGAAGGATCGTGCCAGTTATCTCCGTTGACGGGACGCGAGTCAGGCGGATGGTGGGACTGGGCGCTGTGTGCTCGTCGTGGCGGGGGCGACATGCCCTCGGGGACGTGCTGCTGCCGGTAACACCTCCTGACGGCACCGGGGCTGTTTTGTCGCTCGGGCGGCTGCGGCATCGGTCTGGGAACACGTCTCCTGGCGGGTGTGGGCGGGCTCGGCTGCGACTGTGAGGACTGAGTGGACTGCGAGGCCGAACGCCACTTCTCTATCAGCATTCGCCGGCGCTCTTGCTCTAATCGCACTTCAGTTTCACTGGACGAATCGTAGTCCTTGCCCTGTGTAAAATATTTATATTTTACAGCAGAACGCTACATTGAAAGTATTTTGAGTAATCATTAATTAATTAAGAATTTACCTTTTCGATTTTCTCGTCCAACATTTTGAAGAAGTCTTGTTGACTCGCTGACACCTCACTGTAAAGAAAATGTTGATTAGATTTACACCTGAACAACTCAAGATAACATGGAAAGGAATAGAAGTAGTGTCTTCTGTTTAACGTCTGTAACCATAACTATGAATGATGACGTGGTGACATGAGGGGTGAAATTCTGACGTACATGGGGGGTGGATGCGCGGAAAGCGGCAGGATGTTGCGTGCGCGATCTGCGCGCTCCGCGGCTTCGTCGGCGTCCTCTGTGGGCGCCGCGGCCGCGCTGCCTTCCTCCTCGTCAGCCTCCTTATCTGCTGCGCCTGCATACAACATACAAATATTTAATTCTACGGGAGAGTGAGACAATAGTATCGTAAATTAGTCGCTAATGCTACGGGGTATGTGCATTTATTACATTTTAATTTTTAGGATTATTGATATAAGTATGAGTTTATTTAAGTAGAATTTCATTACCTTCATTTTACTAAAATCTACTTTGTATAATATAGCTGTCCCCGCGATCAATGATTAAGATAAAAACCACCCTAACTCCCAATTTGGAACAAAATACAGATGCTTACATAATTTGATAAGAATTGGTTCAGTAGTTTCGGAGTTTATCGCAAGCATACATCGTGACACTATTTTTTTTTATATATAAGACTAGCGGACCCGACAGACGTTGTCCTGTCTACACGTCTTTAATTTGAATAAATTAATATGAAGTTAATATTTGATGAAAATTGTGAATCTAAACCATTCCCAGATCACCTTGAACACACACAAAAATTTCATCAAAATCGGTCCAGTCGTTTGAGAAGTTCAGTGACATACACACTCACAGAAGAATTATATATATAAAGATTAGCAAATAAAATTAAGAAACATACATTCCTATACAAAGTTATTAAGACTTGCACCTAAAATGCTTGAATAATTATCAATTAATATTTAAATCCTCACATCAATTAATAGTGTAATGTAACACTGACACAGTTCTCGATTTTAATTTAAGGGAAATTTGTAAAACGGAATACAAAATGTTGAATATGTCGTGCCTACGCGTTAATGCAAAATTTCTCTTTAATATTCGCATTTTGATGGACAGAACAATTATTGTTCATCCGAGCACAAAATTGTATGTTATATGCAATTCACCTATGTTGTACGAATGTGGAATATGTTTGTTTTATATAAGCATGAATATTGCAAGTATATGATAAAACTGAAAATCGGCAGAATCTTATCTTAATACAATATTACTAATATTATAAATGCGACTGTTTAAATGGATGGATGTTTGTTGAAGGTATCACCAGAACAACTGTATGGATCTCGCTGAAATTTGGCATAGACGTAAAACATAGAACTGAAATAACTTATAGGCTACTAATTAAGTTATTTTTTAATATCGCGCAGACGGAGTCGCGGGCAAAAGTTAGTATGAAATATTTTACAACATCAAACAAGTTGTATCCAACAAATAATAGGTAAAAGAAAGCTATAATTGTTATGATCGAAGGTTCATTAGTCAGAAATTGAATAGCAAAAGTTACTAAGTCGTGTCGTGACTCATTAGGCTGTCCGCGCACGGTGCGGGAGTCACGATTTCTTATTCCACCTGTCTATAAACACCCACAACTCAATTGCTTCAAGATACGTGGACTTGTACTTTTTAATCTATTCTGCTGGCTTTCATACTTTTAAATCTATTATTTTTTATATTTGATAAAATGACCAACGAGCAGAGGACGACTTAAATTCGCCGAAATAGCGAAGCTACCTGTAGTGTATGCATAAACGTAGTGTTGTTTGTCTCGAGCGTATATGCCATAAGTACATGCCGAAGAGAGGGGTCGTCAGTCGATGTCAGACTTTTGGACCGGCAACACGTGTCGGTACGTGAACGAGCCAAATATAACGCAACGAATGCTACAAGACCGTTGCCCACAAGGAAGGTAGCTACAGAACGGCTGTATGGATTTGGCATAGATGTAGAATATAGTCTGGAAGAACACATAGGCTACTAATTCAGTTAAGACAACTAGTTTCATTATAAAATGAAGCTACATTATTGGAGTACGTCTTAGGAATCTAACTCCTACGCTCAAAGTGTTGCGATCTGCTTTGGAATGCGGCGAACGTTGAATACAAGTCTAAAACTGATTAATATCGCAATTACGAAAGAAAAACGTCTAATACGCTTACATAAACTAAAAAAAACTAGATTTATGAATATAATTTTTTCTAAAAATTGATATAAATGTCCTTGTTGGGTTTGATGATTAATTTGAAAGAAACTCCTTTCTTTAGAATGTTGTTTATTAGCATTTAAAAAAAGGGCGCGTTGTTTTGTTAAAAGTTTTTTTTTTAATTTAATCACCTGGTAACATAGACCTTTAGGTCATATCTTATTTGGTTTGTTAAAATTTAATGTGTATATAACTGTCGTCTGTCATCTGTCAAACACTATATTTGCGTTCAACAGTACGAATAAACGATTTTTTCATACTCTCTTCAACGGGCGGGTTTAAGTCGTTGAAATGTCTAGGAACTTTATATCAACCCTAATTAAAGTGATTTTACCCGAATTGAGGACGAACAAACAGACAACTGTATTCAAGTTGTATGTAACTCTTATCTCTTAATTAGGGCGACGGTTTAATTTGGAGATAAAAGTTTTAAATGTCTGTACTATGACTCCGCTCTACAAAATGTTGAGTAGAGATTAAAGGAAAAGTAATTGAAGGCTATTTAAAAGCTAAATGTCTTTGTGTTTTAATTTATGTCTCTATTTGAAGAAAATAATGACCTCTACATTCTTATATTTGACAAAATATTTTGTGTATTTCTTCTAATTTTGTTATTATAATAATTTCCTGTTAGAGTTCTTTTTTCAATTTGTGGAAAACAAATTACAATTTGTGGAAAATTATCCAAGTTCAAATGACCTTAAAAAAAATAAAGCGCAAAAGAGACAGAAGAATCAAGATAAATGAAATAGTTAAATTTTCCACTTAAATAATAAATAAACTCTGGGGTAAAATGTTGACGAACACTTTATGGCGTGTTATCAAGTTTAGAATTACGTGATTAAGTTAACGCGTAGGCACGTCATATCTATTATCCGTTTAAAATTGGCTTTCTGTTAATTTCATTAAGATCGCATGAATGTTTACTTTGACAGTTGCTTATATTGAGCCTAGTATACTTAATTTGTAGCCTGTAAACTTCCAGACTATTTTCTACATCTTTGTCCAATTTCAGCGTGATTTATTTAGACGTTCAGGAGATACCTTGTAACAAACATCCATTCATCCATCCATTCTGTTAGGAAGAAAATCAGACTCTGTGCCGCTGCACTGCGCAACACTAGCCTTATTAAAATATCAACGCTTATGTCCCTTAACTAATGAATCTGATACTTCACTTGGTATCGAATCGCCATTCGCGCTAAAGGATTCTATCAAATAATGTTTAAAAATTCAAACACTCACATTTATAATAATAATAATAATAAGAAGTAAGATGTTAACAAGTTTTCAAGACGCGAAAGCATTTCCAAACGGTAAATCCTTCTATCCGCTGAGATGCGGACGATTTTCTCGGATCAACGGCTAACTTAATAATTCGGAAATGAGGACTTTATCTTTTTACTGGGCGAAGTGAATCTCAGCGAAAATACTTTTTGATGTTCACTCTGTTGATCTATACCAATTGATGGCTTATTTACAAAGAGATAAAAAGATTTTCGTCCGACTTTGAATGATATTTATGGGTATTTAGATGTATTTAATTCAAAACTACTGAGGACTTTAATATACTATTATATAATAATGTAATAAAATTAGAAATCTATTTTATGCGTGACATCGTCATATTACATATACTACAGCCTCGAAGGACGCAAACCTACACTAAATTAAATTTATGTCTTTTCGTGACAAAGATCTTTAATTTCTTCTTTGTCCTTTTAATATTATTATCGTAGACTAGCTGTCGCCCGCAGCTACGTCCGCGCGACATTAAAAACAATTGTAGTCTGTTTTCTTCCAGGTTACGACATTTATGGAAACCGCGAGATTCATGCAACCGTTCTGGAGATATCTTCTAACAAACATACATACATCCAAACATTCGCATTTATAATAGTAAGATATGTAAAATACAGCGTAGTAAAACATTGAATCAAAGTTTGGAATACAACTAAGGTCTGTGAAGTACAAGAATCTCTATAATGATGGAAGTTATAACAAGAGGTCGTACGAAACAAAGTTTCTTCATATTTTCTAACAATTTAAACCTTAGCGAAGCGTTTGCCTACAAATATTGTAGAGACAATACAAAATAGCATTTATTGTTAAATCGACAAAACATTTAAAAACATTTATCACAAAGAAAAATAGATTTTAATTAATACCAAATTTTATTTCTCAAACTAATTTTTCTTTAATATTTCGACTGAGAAAAGAGATGTGTAGATACTAAGGTAAAAGAATATATCGTACAATATTTTTTTATAACCAAATAGTAGAAATACATTGACGTCATGACGAACATAATTCAAAAAGTATGAAGGTAGATACGTAAACATTTTTTTTATGATTTCTCCATCAGTCGCGCTGAATTGAAAAAAGCTCTCCCTCGTAAATCTTCGCTCCAGACTGTCGTCAGCATTTATTTTCTTTTCCGACAATTGTATGTAACTTCTCAATGCCGTAACATTCGTAAGAAAACTGATGAAATGACATTTTATCTAACACTACCGGTCTCCCGTGACTCCGTCCGCACAGAAATAAAAAAAACATAATTAGTATGTGTTCCAGACTGTGTTCTACATGTATGCCAAATTGGATCAAAATTTATTAAACCGTTCTGAAGATACCTTCATACAAATATCCATCCATCCAACCAAATATTCGCATTAATATTATGAAAATACTGAATTTTATTATATTATAGTACTAGCTGTCGCCCCCGACTCCGTCCGTGCGGGATTAAAAATAGATGTTGGCTGATTCTCAGACCTACTCAATATGCTCACAAAATTTCACGAGAATCGGTCAAGCCGTTTCGGAGGAGTATGGGAACGAAAATTGTGATACGAGATTTTTATATACAACACGAGAATTTTATATATAAGATAATCTGAAAGAACTTATAGCGTAGTTTAACTAAGATTTCTTTTTAATTCCGTGCGGTCAACGTGTTTAAATAAAACGTTTAAACACGTTGTGACGTTAAAAACGAAAATTGTGACACGAGAATTTTATATGTAAGATGTATAATATTAGATATGTTTTTTCAAACATATACAAGC